AAAATACTCAGCCTGTTTTAAACAACATCTGTGCCACATTGAACATGTTTTTAATCATCTTCTGATGATCGGTTTGAACTTCAGTAGATTATCCTGAATATGTCTACATCTGAGTGCAAAGTTTCTGCCATGTGATTGGCTTATTAGATTATTTTACTTACAAGCAGTTTAACATCGGTGTTTAATTAAGTGGCCGGTGAGTTTATCTATTATCTATTATGCCACTTCTGACATTGTTTGTTTGTTCACCTTTAATTTTAAATCCACACCGTTGCCCTTGTCAAAGAAATGTGTGTCATGACACAGCAGATGCCTTTATTTGTTGTTTTCGTTTATGTTTAAGGTTAGCAACATTCAGATGCACTTTACTGTCACTGTAAGATATTACTTTTTCTGGTTTAACGATGCAATGAAAATTTACTTGGAGAGAGTTTGTTGTGATGGCAAGGCTATTTTCAGTATTATTACTTCAGTCTTTAGTGTTACATGATCTATCAAAAATCAGTGTTTTGGTGTTCTCTAAACATTTCCTGTTGCATTTTTTTGTGAACCAGTTATGGGTTCGAGTAAAATGCTTTATTAAATAATATAACATCTGATAAAACTTTTTCTTTTTATGCTCTTGGAAATACACACATATACACATATTATATCAGAGCTCTGGGATATTGAAGAAAATGTTCATTTGTGCTAGCATGGGACATAATGTTACAGTATATTCCATGCAATAAGATATTTTTTAAGAATGTTATAACCGTCAAATGTTTCATATTATTTTAGGAAAACGAAATTGCAACTTCTGAGAGGGAACAGTCATGTTTCACTCTTGCATACAACAAATAAAACATTATTCATTTTCTTTTCAGCTTTTCCCTTTATTAATCAGGGGTCGTCACAGCAGAATTAACCGCCAACTTATCCAGCATATGTTTTATGCAGCCGATGCCCTTCCAGCTGCAACCCATTACTTGGAAACACCCATACACTCTCATTCACACACATACACTACGGCCAATTTAGCTTATACCCAATTCACCTGTACCACATATCTTTGAACTTGAGGGGGAAACTGGAACACCTGGAGAAAACCCACGCGAACACGGGAAGTACATGCAAACTCCACACAGAAATGCCTTTGTAGAAACTGACCCAGCCGAGGCTCGAACCAGTGACCTCCTTGCCTCCGTGCTACCCACTGCGCCACCGTGCCGTCACAAATAAAACATTATAAAAATACAAATGAATTAAAATAAATACCACCACCACTTTGGTTTACGCTAATTTATACTTGTTTATACTTGCTTGTTCAAACTTCAACATTCATACTTAAATCATTAGATTTGTGTCCAGAAAACCACTATGTACATATGTGGACAAATAAAGTGCAAAATAATCAAACAAGCAAACCCCTGAATAACAACTAAATGGTAAGGGCAACACAATATGAATAGGATCAATTAAACTGCTTTCCACATTTTCATTTCCAATTCATTTTTCAGCCACTTTCACTGCATCTGTGGAGTACTGCAATTTTCAGAAAAAAACCCAGCTGTGTGATTCAAACATTCCCATAAAATAATGCTTTGATCACTACGCTGTCATTTGGTTTTTGGAGGTTGACAGCCTATTTTGTAGCCCTTGCAAATTATACTTATTCAAAGCGGCTGTTTTGCATGAGCTTTTGTTATTGCATTTTGATGGCAATAATACAAACTGGCAACTCCCTGTGCGAGGATTTCGAGATGAACCTTCAAGCTTCATTTGTCCTGCCTGCTTCAGGATGTGCTCATGGACCTGTCACAAATCAAGGTCCTTTAACAGAAGGCTGGGCATTAGTTTCCGGTTAAAGGGCAGCGGCTGGTGTTTTTTCGGCATGTGTGTATCATGAGACACCTGAAGCAATGGCTCTTCCTGTAAGTGTGGCTCTGCACACAAAGCCAGATAATGTCACGTAACAAAGAGATCGACTCTTTGTAGATTTCTTCTTCTAAGCGCTGACCTTTACCATATATGTGCAGCTACAGTGTTCTTGCATGCTGTGGAGAGCGATTGTGTTGATAAAGAGATGGGAGATGCTTATTTTCAGCCAGTCGCCTTTCTGCAGAAGTCAAATTGTGCGTGATTCATTTGTCATTCAACCGTGTGCTAGTTTGAGTAAAGACTCCTTTAGTCACAGTATATCAGCTTCAAGAGTGGCTGAACAGATTTGCTTTTGCTTTCTCAGAAGTGGCTTAATTCACAAATAAGATGGAGTTCTGCAAATGAAAGGTTTACACAGTTTATTTCACTCTTCTCAGATCTTAACTTTTTGTTTATACGATACATATCTGATTTTTATCTTTTGTGAAAATATTCAAAACTCATTATAGTTGACTTAAAATAGAAAATTAAAGAGAAGAAATTAATTTGTTCTTAGTTTTACATTATCTTTTTAAACAGTGCTCTACATAAATGAGCATGCCCCTCACAGATATCCCATTTAAATTCATATTTTCTATAGGATGCTTTAATAAATACATTAGATTAGTCAAAGCCCAAACTTAGAGCTAATTTAATAAAGAAAAAAAATAACGAAAAAAATATTTAAAATTTTTAATTTGTAGTTGTTATAATAACCGGTTTAAATTTAAACGCTTTTTTTTTTTTTTTTCCTAAAGATGTTTATTCATTTTCTTGTCAGTTTAGTCCCTTTATTAATCCGGGGTTGCCACAGCGGAATGAATCGCCAACTTATCCAGCAAGTTTTTTACGCAGCGGATGCCCTTCCAGCCGCAACCCATCTCTGGGAAACATCCACACACACATTCACACACACTCATACACTACGGACAATTTAGCCTACCCAATTCACCTGTACCGCATGTCTTTGGACTGCGGGGGAAACCGGAGCACCCGAAGGAAACCCATGCGAACACAGGGAGAACATGCACACTTCACACAGAAACGCCAACTGAGCCGAGGCTCGACCCAGCGACCTTCTTGCTGTGAGGCGACAGCACTACCTACTGCGCCACTGCTTCGCCCTTCCTAAAGATGTTATGTGACCAAACTCTTATTTTAATAATTATAACTGTTAAGTAAAACTGTTAACTGTTTAAATGCCAGAAACATTAATGGCTATATAATCACTGAGAAATAAATAAATATATATAAATTCATTTCAAAAAGGGGGTATATTTACTTTTTTTGTGCACTGTATTTTTTTTCCCATTTTGTCAAGAAAACAATTTTCACTTTACTTAAAACAAACAAAACAAAAAACAATCTATATAGATGGAAATAAATTCAAACTTAAAAAGTTATATAGATGCAAAAAGTAATAACAAAAATAAGCAAATAAACAAAAAAACGAAGCCGTAAATAAAAGCTAGAATAATACGTCTATATATATTAGTTAAAGTCAGAATTATTTGCCCCCTTTGAATTGTTTTCCTTTTTTAAATATTCTCCAAATTATGTTTACAGAGCAAGAACATTTTTACAGTATGTCTGATAATATTTTTCTTCTAGAAAAATCTTGGTCTAAGTTTAAAAAAAAAACATTATAAGGTCAAAATTATTAGCCCCTTTAAGCTATATCTTTTTTGATAGTTTACAGAACAAACCATTGTTAAACAATAACTTTCCTAATTAACCTATCCTGCCTAGTTAACCTAATTAACCTAGTTAAGCCTTTAAATGTCAATTAAAGCTGTATAGAAGTGTCTCGAAAAATACCTAGTAAAATATTATTTACTGTCATCACGGCAAAGATAAAATAAATCAATTATTAGAGATGAGGTATTAAAACTATTATGTTTCGAAATGTGTTGAAAAAAATCTGCTGAAAAAAAAAACGGGGGCTAATAATTCTGACTTCAACTATATATAGTGCTCAGCATAAAATCAACACAAATATCTCTTTTAATATTTTCTAAAGGATGTTTTGCTACAATACAATTTGTGTTTAAACAGGACAAATAAAGATAACAAAAATATTTCAAATTTTGTTGTTATTGCACTGACCTGTTTGAATTGAAATGTAATATATTTCATTCCTAAATGTTTTTTGACTAAACTCTTATTTTAATGGATCTAATTGTTTTATAAAACTAATAAATATTCCTTTTCAAATGGGGGTGCTTATTGAATTGTGAACTGTATTTTATTTCCACTTTGTCTAGGAAAGCATTTTGATTTTACTTAAAACAAACAAACAAACAAACAAACAAACACAAAAAATATACATATATTGATGGGAAAAATTCAAACTTAAAAAATTGTATAGATGCATAAAGTAATTAAAAATGACAAAAAGCATACTTATTTAAGTTATTAAAATGTTACTAATTTAAAAAATAATAATTCAAGCCATAAATAAAAACTGGATTAATATATCGATGTTAAACACTGGCAAAATAAATACATTTAATATTAAATATATTTATGACACCAAAAATTAATGCATGTAGATATATAGATTTTTCTTTCCCTTTGACTCTATGCATTGAGCGTTAAGCATAAAAACAGATTATTAACCCCACATTCCTGAGTGCTCTCTTTTTTCAGTATTTCATCTGTCACTCTCAAGAAGAAAGAGCAGAAGAAAAATACAGAAAGCTCTTCTAGTGCTGCCATACAAATACTGCATAACAATGCACCAATTAGCATAACATATATTTCACCTCCTTATTACTCACGCCCACCAATCCAACAGCAAGAAGCCTGTTAATGGATTCTGCAGAAGAGCTCTCTGCTATTTAACATCAGTCATCAGTCTGAATCTTTCCTTCTGCTCCGACAGATCCTGCCAATCACCACTCAAATTACTGACACGTTTCGCCTGGCACCATGCAGTGGAAGTGGGAATAAAGACAATAAAGCAACGGTCAGAGAATGAAGGGAACGGAGAGAAGAGGATAGAGTGAAGGAAAAGAGGCAGGGAGCTGGAAGAAAAAAGGGTGATGTCACTGGCTTCTGATCACAGCCAATCAGAGGCGAGCAGTGGAAGCGAGGGAGCAGGAGAGGGTGTGTTTTCTTCACACTGCAGCATCAGCAGTGAAGAGAGGCCACAATCAATCTGACACTGAGCTGGAGACACACAACCTTCAGGGACACCGAAAACGCCACACACAACCTGAAGCTCTTTCTGAACTGCAGAGGTAAGAATTGAAGCTTTTCAATAGTGTTTAACATCTGACGCATGTCAAACAGAATTGGCGTGATTTTTGCGGATTTTTTTTTTCCTTCTTGCGGTTAGATGATCACACCTTGGAGATTTAAGGTGCAGTGATGCTAGTGTGTGTGTGTGTGTGGTCTTGAATACTAGGGTGTTCTGGTGTTAATAACTGCATTGGGTTTATCATTTATGTTTGTTTTTAGCTATAATGTTACATTTGGCTTTTTTAAATAATTATCCAAAATAATAATAATATTTTTCTGTTAACTTTAGTGCATAAATTTAAAATATGAATGCATTTTTGAATATTTTTGCTCATTTATGTCTTCAATTTATTTTTGTGGAGTTGCCCCGTCTCATAAACAGAAACAGTCCTCTGGTGGATTCGCGCTCATCCCATGCGAGATCAGCAACAGGCTCTTGTGTTTTCATCTTTAATGCACGGCTGCATATTAGTGTTGCATATGCTGAACCGGTCTTCATATTGACCTATTCATAATGCAAACATTTGTTTTGTTTAGTTTATTAGCATAAATACCTGGAAGTTGTTTCATAAAGGTACTTCTGCTGGAGTATTATTATTTTAAGGTGTTACTATCACTGTCACATGTTAATAATTGATGTGTTGATCTATGTGATTGTTGCTCCCTCCCCCATGCTTTAGTCAGGCTGTGTAATTGTGTTAATCACCCGTGAGAGGAGTATTGTGGTGTTAAGGGTACTGGTGGTCCGCATTGGTGTCTGTTGGGGTGTTCGTTACAAAACAAATAATGATGCTTTGATTGGGCAGACGCCAGTGGCAAGGAGAGCATGAGGAGGACTGGGTGTGGCCTGCATTTATTTAGTGTGTTAAATGCAGACACACTCACCTGGCAGCAGGCCAGCATGTTTGATTCAGGGTGGGTCTCGCTCAGGTTGCTGATTATTAGCTCTGTTAGCAAAGTTTATGGCATGAGGCGATTGTCATTCGATTGCACTGAATTGCTATTGATTCTTGCTAAAATGACTGCACACTGGTGCAGTGATTATGTTTGTGTTTTTGTTCTGTAATATTTCTATGATGCTTTGAGTATTTTAAACAATTTTACTGTTGAAATTATATACAGCTATGGAAAATAAATTAAGAAACCACTTGAAAATCCTTAGCTGGGTGGGGGTTCTGGAGTTATTAGGTATGGATTTAAGAAAAATGTTAATATTTGTGTATTTTATTCAATAAATGTCTGCTTGAATTTTGTTTTAAAATTCTGCTATTTAGAGCTTTTTTCCCCAGAAAATGACAGCTGATTAGAGACAATCTTTTTATTTGTCAAAACTGATAATAACCAAATAATGATTTCTTAACTCTTCTGGGTTTTTTTTAATCAAGTGTTAGTTTATAATTATTATTTATTTTATTATTATTTATTCATCTATTTATTTAATTATATATATATATTAATGTGTTTTATATTTTATATATTTAATTCTTGCTGCTAAAGTACTGTGAATGTAGCATCATTATTCATTTTTCTGGTATTATATTGAAAATAAACTATTATTCAACCATAACATTAAATATTGCATTTATATAAAAATTTAAGTAATTATGTTTATAGTATAGCATATAAATATATAATGTATTGCAACTTTGATAAAAGTTGATGATCCACTTCAAATTTTCACTACTATATATACAGTTGAAGTCAGAATTATTAGCCCCCCCCCCCTTTAATTTACTTTATATATTTTATATATATATATATATATATATATATATATATATATATATATATTTACTTTATATTTTTCTGAAGAGAGTCTTTTAAAAAAATTAAAAACCATTTTAAGGGCAAAATTATTAGCCCTTTAAAGCTTTTTTTTTTTTTTTTTTTTTTTTACAGAACTAGCCATCATTATACAATAATTGGCCTCATTACCCTAACCTGCCTAGTTGACCAAATTAACCTAGTTAAGCCCTTTAAATGTCACTTTAGGCTGTATAGAAGTGTCTTGAAAAATATCTAGCAAAATATTATTTACCGTCATCATGGCAAAGATAAAATAAATTAGTTATTAGAAATTAATTATTAAAACTATTATGAAATGTGTTGAAAAAAGTCTTCTCTCTGTTAAACAGAAATTGAGGGAAAATTAAAAGAGGGGCTAAAAATTCTGACTGATTCTGAATAAATTCGGTTATATATACCTGCACAAAATACCTGCATAATGTCACAATATTGTTCGAAAATTGTTCCATGGAAGCACATTAATACCATAAAGAATACCATACCAAAACCATGAAATTACATAAACATTTACCCTTACTCAAAAACTGTGCATGTATCATCTTACATTGCTTTAGGCTTTCAAATAATGTGAAAATATGACTTTGTACACTTGTGCCTTGTACACTCTTTCATTAACCCTTATTAAAAAAGTTCTGTCCATGTTTAACAATGATTTCTATATTTGTAAAACATGATGTTTTTTGTCAATTTAAAAAAAAAAAATGTTGCCATTAAACTTGTTTTTTGATGTTGAATGTCTTTTTAAAAAATTGTTAGCGAAAAAGATTTAAGATTCTTCAAAAAATCCCCTAAAAATGATGATGAATTTGTTGTAGAATTAATATTATATTAATTAAAAGCCCTTAAAAATACTATATTGATACCTTATAAAACTTATATTTTATTTAATTTTATATTATTTAATTTTATTTTTATTTATTTAACACATGCTAGTTTCTTTTGACTGTATATAATTTCCAACACCCTTTCGTTGTGTAGATCTGCTAATAGCGGGTTATCCCCAGTTCATCTCCTTGTGACAGAATTTACACCAGCATCCTGTCGCTCACACACAATGACTTGTGTATCTTTTCAGGATAAATCGTTGGGAATTGATTATCGACAGGGTGTGTACATAGGCTATGCTCAGGTGCTCAATTCGTGAGAGTGTGCAGTGATATCCTGTCTCCGTTCCACATCCATCATGCTGTAGCTGATCCTACGTTTACTCTGCCATACAAACACAGGGAAAATATGATCTGCCTCTGCAAAATCTTCTCTCCTCAGAGGCGGAGGCTTTAATTGAGCTGTGCGCACAGATGGATGGACGGGCTGGAGAGATTTAGGAAGGATGAAAGAAAGGAAAGTGGGGTGGGGTCACGTTTGACAGGCCAAGCCATTGCACAGGCCTATAATATATGTGCACTTATGCTGTCGAAGGAGATCAACAGAGAGAGAGAGAGAGAGAAAATGAGTACAAGGTCAATAGTGAAGGAACAGGAGCGAGGAGGAGTCTGTTAAAAGAAGGAATAAGAAAAAAAGCCATCAGTCTTGTTGGACGGCCTCTGTTTTGACCTTCTGGACAGACGACAAGTCTCCTGGTAATAATGACGCTATTGTCACACATAGAGCTGCTTATAGCTGAACTGAGCTCATTTCATAATTGAACCTTACACAGTTTTTGGGCAGAACTGAATCAACACTGAACTGACTTGGGCTGCATAGTCTCACTATTGTCTTCGGTATAATAGAGCTGAATCTCGTATTTGGTTAACTTTGCTTTATTGATTGCTTTAAAACAGTTTGTGTTGTGTAAAGGGCTATGTAAATAATGATGAAGTGTCATATCTCCAAAATTACACAGACGTGGTTCAATGCGGGTTGTTGAAATAAAAGGATTTACTGTCCATTTCTTTCAACTGATGTATTTTTTGACACTGTCAGTGTCATCTTTGGCTTGCTTGGTTGGAGTTTATAATGGACTTTTCAATCCTTTCATTGCTTTTGTGGTATTGATACTGTCCAATAGCACAGACATTGAACAGGATGGTGACCTTTCTGTTTTATCTAGAGTAGCTTTATAGCGGTTTGGATCTTTCATGATTGACTTTTTCATTATTGATCAGACTGAATAACATGAATAAATTACATTTGTAATTGACTTTTTTCCATTACTGATTAAATTCATTTAAATTAAAAAAAGACACTTTTTTTTCTTCTGTTTTACATTCAAATCAATGTTTCATAATAGATGAATTTTTAAAAATGGTTCAAACTTAAGCTGCATAACAACGACTATGTTTACAAAGGCATCCACAATCGAATTATTTGCCTTAATCTGAATAAGACAATAATATAATTAAGATGTTTACAAGAGTTGGTTTTTGAAAGTTCCTTTCATGATCCCGTTTTACATGTTATAGCACATAATTCGATTAAGTCATTGTGTCACCACACTATCCACATTTCCTCCAGAGTTTCATGTAATTTCAGGAGTTTAATTTTTAATTTGTTGACTTTAACTGCAGTTTGGCACTTTCACTTGCATTCAGGAACAATTCATGTATGCCCCTCGTGACAAACGAGATATCGGATGAGAGTATGAACTGCTGGAAGAGTATTGTTTTAATAGAATTTGATAACACATGCCATATGGTAAAAAAAAAAAAACTTTGCATTTGGCTATGCAGGTGTCTTTAGTCCTTTACTAACTCAGTAGGTGCAGAGAATAGTGTCAAACAACCGTGTGTGTATAGACTATCCTGTCACAAAAAGCGGCGAAAATCCTACATGACAGTAATAGTTTCATTGCGATGTTTACATGTTTGTACTGCACTTCAATAATGCGTCTAAAATCGGCATACTCAATTTGTCTTAATCCGATCTCTGTTTAGTTTGATTATGACCTTAATCTGATTAAATTAATCAAAAATTGCGGTTTACATGGTCGACTCTTAGTTTTGACTTAAATATTTTTAATTATTGATATCAATTATTTTTAATTATTAATATCCAAATGTTGTCTTGTGAAGCTGATTTAACTTTGTTTTGTAATGAATGTTTTACAACATGATTAAACTCACTGAAGCTAAATACTGTCAATGGTGTCTTTTGAAGAGTGGCTTGTAGCTGAATTGCAAAATGAATAATTTTTGAGTAAAAAATCTACTGTTGTCTTCAATATAGATTTTCATTTGACACAATGACATTAGTT